CGGGATTCCCCCTGGAATTTCCCTCCAGGATTCCCCCGGATCCCTCCCGAGATTCCCCCAGGATTCCCTCTGGATCCTCCCCAGATTTCCCCCAGGATCCCCCTGGAATTTCCCCCCGGATCCCCCCGGTATTCCCCCCCAAATTTCCCCTGGGATTCTCCCTGGATCCCCCCGGATTCCCCCCGGGATCCCCCCCCGGGATCCCCCCACCGGATCGGCCGATCCCGCTGCTCAGCTCCGACTCCATCCAGGCGCTGCCGTTGTGGCTCCGGTACCGGCAGCGGAAGCACCGGGAGCCTCCGGGCAGGGAGAACTCGGCCCAGTGCCGGTCCGGAGCCGCCGGCTCCCGGGCAACCGGGATCCCCGGGATCCCCGGGATCCCCTGGAAAAGCTCGAAGGTGCTGCCGGAGAAGCGGCGCGGGGCGAGGCAGCGGATCCGGGGGGGATCCGGTTCCGAGGGGATCCGGAGAACCAGCGGAGCTGGGAGCAGCTTTGGGGCTGGATCCCGGGAATCCTGGCGGGAATCCCAGGAATCCTGGCGGGAATCCCGGTGGGAATCCCGGGAATCCTGGCGGGAATCCCGGGAATCCTGGCTCAAACACGAGGTCGCGACCACGAGGAGCAGAAACTCCATCCTCATCCTCCTCATCCTGAGAGCTCGGAACCGGGAATTCCTCCCCGGGAAAAACCGGGATAAACCCGGAATAAACCCGGATAAACCCGGGAAAAACCGGGATAAGCCCAGGAAAAACCGGGAAAAACCGGAATAAACCCGGATAAACCCAGGAAAAACCGGGAAAAACCGGAATAAACCGGGATAAACTGGAATAAACCCGGATAAACCGGGAAAAACCGGGATAAGCCCGGGAAAAACCGGAATAAACCGGGATAAACTGGAATAAACCAGGATAAACCCGGGAAAAACTGGGATAAACCGGGAAAAACCGGGATAAACCCGGAAAAACCGGGATAAACCCGAATAAACTGGAATAAACCCGGATAAACCCGGGAAAAACTGGGAAAAACCGGGATAAACCCGGAAAAACCGGGATAAACCCGAATAAACTGGAATAAACCCGGATAAACCCAGGAAAAACCAGGATAAACCAGGAAAAACCAGGATAAACTAGAATAAACTGAAATAAACCCAGATAAACCCGGGAAAAACCGGGATAAACCCGGATAAACCGGGATAAACCCGGATAAACCCGAATAAACCGGGAAAAACCGGGAAAAACCGGGATAAACCGGGATAAACCCAGATAAACCGGGATAAACCCGGATAAACCCGAATAAACCGGGAAAAACCGGGATAAACCGGGATAAAGAGCCGCGGGTGGACTGAGGGAGCAGGAAGGAAGCGGCTGCAGGGCCTCAGGAAATGAGAAGTTTTTCACCCATTGCGCAAAAAATTGTTCTTTTTTTTTTTATTTCTGCACCCAAAAGTCAAAGTTGGGGGTGGGGGATGCGGCTCCTGAAGGTTGGGAGGGGATTTTTTGTGGCTGGCAGCTGGAATTCCCAATTTCCATGGGAATTCCATAGGGAAAAGATGCGAGGAAATCCCAAAATCCGCCCCAAAATCTTCCTCAAAACCCCCCCCAAATACCTCAAATCTGTCGTGTCCCCCCCTCCCCCCCCAAATCAGCCCTGGAATTCCACCGGGCTTCCAAATCTGTCCCAGTTTTCCCTCATGGATTTGGAAATTCTCCCCAAAATTCCCAAATTTGCCCCAAAATCTCCCAAATTCGCCCCAAATTCGCTGCCCCCTCCCCCCCACCCCGCGCGGTGCATTGTGGGAGTCCGGCTCCGCTAGGCGGCGCTCGCCACCCCCGGGGGGCGGAGCCAAATTCGCGCTGACCAATCAGAGCTCGGGAACCGCGAGGAAGCAGCCAATGAGCGCAGAGGGTTTGGGGTAAGGGCGGGAAGGAACCCGCGCCTCAGGGAAGGGGCGGGAAGGACCCCGCGCCTCAGGGGCGGCCCCGGCGCCGCCTGAAAAACTCCGGGATCAAAGAGCGGGAGGATCCTCCGGGAGGATCCTCCGGGATCCGCCACGGGGATCCGCCGCAGGGACCCGTCAGCAGGATCCATCAGCGGGATCCACCGCCGGGATCCCCGTTAGGCGGGGTGAAATCCCGCCTCAGGCGGCGCCGCGGGCAGCCCTGGCCGGAGTTTCCCTCAGGGACGATGGCGGCGGTCGCGGCGGATCCCGACGGAATTTTGTTCCCGAAGGAATTTTTTTCCCGAAGGAATTTTGTTACCGAAGGAATTTTGATCCCGAAGGAATTTTGTTCCCGACCTTTCCCCGCGGATCCCGGAGAGGGTTCGGAAGGAGAGACGAAGATTTGGGGTGAATCCTCCACCGGGTTTTACCCCTGAGGGAATCTCAGCTCCCGGAATTTGTGAGGGAAGGATCCCGCAGCTCCCCCTACGACGCCAATAAATTAAACTTCGGGAATTTTTTAATCATTATCCACAAAATCCCGGACAACTACAGCAGGACAGGGATGGATCCCGGTGAGAATGCGGCCCATAAAACCCCCAACCCCCCTCAGAACCCCCAAAATTCCACAAACTTCACTCTTCAATATTTTTTTTTTTCCCTTTATTCGGATTTTTTTTTGCCTGTTTTTAGTTCATTAATGGGACGCGGAGCGGAGGCACTTCGGGGGGACCCCCCAAAAAACCGCCCCCGGCTCGTTAATTGGATTAATTGGCCCCCCCCGAGCCGGGGGGTCATTAAGGCACCGGGGCCGGGGGAGGGGTTGGAAAAATCCACATTATTGCTGGGCCAGGAATTCTTATTTTTTTAATTTTTTTTTTCTCCGTTTGGTTTTTTTTTGTATTTTTTTCCTTTTTTTTTGTATTTTTTTCCTTTTTTTGTGGTTTTTTTTTCCTTTTTTTTTTGTATTTTTTCCTTTTTTTTTGTAGGGTTTTTTTTGGGTCTTTTTGTTGTCGTTTTGTTTTTGTTTTTTTTTTTTATACAATTAATACAAGTCTGTAAAAATATTTACAACCTCGGCTGGAGCCGGATTGGGGGCGGGGGGGAAAAAAAAAGGGGAGAAGTTTCCAGAATAAATTCCCGATCTGGGAATTTCCCCCCTCCCCTTGGGCAGAGCTTCCTCCTCATCCTCCTCATCCTCGGGGTTATTCCCCAGAGGAAATTCCTGAGGTTCTCAGGGAAAAAAATTAGGAATTCATTTGAGAATTCCAGCATTTTTTTTTTTTTTTTCCCCTCCAGCCCTAAAAAAATCCCGAAATTCTCCAAAAAAAAATAAAAATAAAAATAAAAATAATTCCGACAAAAAAACCAAAACAAACAAACAAACAAAAAAACAACGGAACGACCCCCGGGAGGCGGCGGGGGAGGGGATTTTGGGGGAGAATTCCGTGATTTTTTTTTTGGGGGGAATATGTTAATGTGGAATTGCTGGGGAGGAGGAGGAGGAAGAGGAGGAGGAGGAGGAGGAGGAGGAGGAAGGCGGGATGGGACCGTCAGCCCCTCCCCCACACCGGGAGCT